AATAAACGCAGGTGCACATCAAGAAGGACCACTACTGTTACAAATGTACAAAAAAGGCCTACCAAATTTCATTAGGTCAGGAACAAAAATAGGATTATTTGCAGGCGATTTCATAATATAATAATAATAATAATAATAATAAGGCTTGTCTTCGAGTCCGAAGATTAATGAGGAATGCAGTATTTCCAGTGGAACCCCAGCAGTGACCTACATATTTTGCCGCACCCAGAACAATCATAACCATTGTCCGCAGGTGGTCGATTAAATTTTCTTTTCGCCGTCTGCGTCTGTCCTCGGCAGCGGATTTTCTTTTGGTCTCAAATGTGTATCCAGCGGCCTTTGAGAGTGATCTCCAGCTGTCTCGTTCCGAGGCCGCATGCAACCAGGTGCTCTCTTCTAAATTAGCAAAGGCAAGTTTGCGCCTAAGCTGGTCTTTGAAGCGTTTCCGTGGAGCACCTCTATTACGTCGACCACCTTTTAGCTCACCAAAAAAGACTGCCTTTGGCATACTTTCGTCTCCTATACGAGATACGTGCCCTACCCAGCGTAACAGTCGGGCCATAAGAAGTCCCTCTATACTGTCCTTACCGGCGTTCGCAAGGACATCGTATGTCCATGATAGAGCGCAAGCATCTTTGGTGAAAGCGCTCAAGTAGTCTTAGTTGCTTTCTGTATAGTGTCCATGTCTCAGATCCATATAGAAGGGTTGAGAGAACCACCGCCTTGTAGACATTGATTTTGTAGGCAGGCGGAGCGATTTATTCCGCCAAACTCTAGCCCAAAGGCGTCCAAAAGCGCTACTGACCCTGGTCAGACTGTTATCAACTTCCCTTGAAAGTGAGGCGTCATTTGATACTACAATATATAGAAAAATAAAAACAGCACAAGTTACTGAAATTTTACAAAGAGAATTAGATGAATTACAGAAATTGGAATCCTATTGGAGCATGTCTAAAATTAATTATTACAAATCAAACAATAACATAAAACTAAATGCTATTTAACTTTACTTGGGCCAATATCAGAATATGAATTCTCTGTTTTGGATCCCTCAACTCAAGAAAACATAAAGAAACTAGAACAGACGCAAAATAGAGCAGTGAGATTTATAACAAACGAATATTTAAATTTGATTAGAGTAACACCATTCGTAAAATCACTAAACTTAGAGACACTTCAGGACAGAAGAATAAAAAGTAGGCAAAATTCGCAATAATATACAAAGCACTGACCTATAGGTTTACAAATGTAAAAACAAAACGTAATATAAGACACACATGTGAAGTGGGGAGGACCTGATATACGGGTCGCTCAACTTGACCAAGCACCGGTCAGCAAAGGATCAAGTTGACCTCTGCCCCGGTAGCGGGGATTTGAATTCCTTTTTCTGCTGGCGTCCTGCATTGAAACTCACTGGGCCGCGTCCACTCCAATACCATCTCGTTTGATCCTGCTGTGTTCTTCCTAAAGTTCATTGGTTTGGTCAAGGTTGCAGGTCTTTAATGTATAATAAACAGTTTGGAATCGTCCTACGAGTTGCCTTCGTCATGTCATTTAGTTTGTTCTGTGCCAAACCCACCACACATGTCTTATTCCTTACGCTAGGACAAATCCGTACAAGTGCTCCTTCTTCCCTAATGCCTCTAGAGCATGGAATGGGTTGCCTAAATCAGCCATGATTGAAAACCAACGACTTAGCAAAATTAAAGTCAATGATTAACATGCATGACTGGATTGACACATGAAATTGAAATGCGTAGGACGTAATTATTTATAAGATAAACTCCATGGCTGACAGAATACAAATAAATATGTTCCGCGGGGGGGGGGGGGGGGGGGGTGTTTCATTTGAAAATATTGTTTATAATTGTTGTGTGTGTGAGGGGGTTATATTGCAGGGTCTAAGAAGTCTTTGTGCACACTCTATAATAGTGGATTGCAGGGACTTAGATAAAGAAACAAGAAAAAATAAACACAAAAAACAACAACATAGAATTTGAGGGCAAGAAAATTGTGTTGGGCTGAGGGACGTTTTACTGATGGGTTTAAGAGTTCCGGACAAAATAAACATAGATCTTATCTTATACAGACGTTACTTCAAAAAAGAAGATGATTACGTGCTACGCGTCAGGCATCTTGTCATGCATGTTAACCACCAATGACCTAAATTCTGCTAAGTCACAGTTTTCCTGGCTAGCTCAGTCAACCCATTCCATGCTCTAATAGCACTAGGGAAGAAGGAGTATTTGTACAAATTTGTCCTAGCATATGGAACGAGGAATGTGCCTTTATCTTTGTGTCTTTCTGAGTATTTTATTAGATTTTTTTTTTACATACATATACCAACGAGCAGTGCTTTTTTTTCTGTGCCGCTACGCACCGGGCACCTTCAATGTAGAGAAACAAATAAGGGCTTTTCTTGCAGTTTACGTTTATTATTAATGTATTAGTAGTTGGGGGTTTTGGGTTTAAACCCCTCTCCTACAGATGACTTTTTAAAAAGTTTAAAACCCCTCCAGATGGTTTTGAGTTTGAAATCCCCCTACAGAGCGTTTTGAGGTGGAAAACTTCTATCTTCAATATTATTCTAAAGCAAACTACAGTTACCAAATTCTATGACCCTAGCTAAATGGGGTTTTGATATTTAAAAAAAATCAACTCCAGAGATTTTTAGTTTAAAACCCCCAACCTATAATTTTGAGAATAAAACTTCCTTTTTTGATATAAAATCTAAAGCTAACTGTCACCTAATTCCAAGAGCGTATTCAAGAAAGGTTACACATTTCTACCAGTGGCACTGTAGATACCTCAGAATATGCATTTTGTTGGATTTCAATAACAAAAATAGTGCTTTGCGGCGGGGCTCCGCCCCGCGCTGGGGGAGCTCCTAGCGCTCCCAAAGACCCCTTGTTGGCAATGGCGGGGAGTGTACAATTTTCCCACTAACTCCAGGAAGAACCTATTCTAGGGCACAATAAACGTCTGAATGAAGGGTCAGAATTGTTGTACACACACAAACATACAGATAAATTTTTTTTTTCGCGGGGGGGTGGGGGGGGGGGGACGACGGTAAAATCCCCCCCCCCCCCCCAACCAAAAAAAATCCAAACTACACCCATGATTAGCTGATTAGGCCTAACACAAATAATGAAAATAAAGTTGAACTTTTGGCCAAAATATAATACATTAAAATAGAATATATGACTGTAAAGCCTATCTGTGTATAAAACACAACACAAACATAACACTATTTGACCCTGCATAGTACACATTCCGTATAATGAATGGAACGCCAAGTGACTGTATACAATACACAGAACCATAGACTAGATCTACACAAAACAGATCAGACCGTAAGTCTAGTATGGTTCTGTTTGCACAGCATTGAGCACATGTTCTAAATATAGTTAAGTCAATTTCTGAACATGTTTGTAAATCAAAAGTCTAGCCTACACTAGAGTTCAGGAGGATGTAATGTGCAAGCCAGGTCAGGTTACATTCAGAGAGAAAACTCAAAACATCCACTCATTTTAAGAAGCTGGATTTATGGAGCTGTGGGGAATTATCTCCACTTCAAAAAGTGTGTACGTCTGAGTGCGTGTGAGATAGATGCGCTCTCCTCTGTAGACATTGTTTTATTCATGTTTATTTTGATCGCGTGGAATATTTCAGAAAGAAGACAACAGTCTAGTTGAACGATCGTATGTTAGCCTTGTCTTCAATGTTCTGGCCGACTAGATCGACTTGTAAGGAAAAACTGTCGTGGAAAATGTGGTAAAAAAAGGGATTATATTTTCTATTGGGAGGGGGGGGGTGAGGTCCACTATTGGGAGGGGGGTGTGAGGTCCACTATTGCGAGGGGTGAGGTCCACTTCAAAACATTGAAAATGTTGTCTACCGACTTTGGCTTCTTCAGTTGCATGTTAAGTGATAGTGAGACACACGAGAAATGGAAGTAAACAAAGTGATAGTGAGACACACGAGAAATGGAAGTAAACAAAGTGATAGTGAGACACACGAGAAATGAAAGTAAACAAAGTGATAGTGAGCCACACGAGAAATGGAAGTAAACAAAGTGATAGTGAGACACACAAGAAATGGAAGTAAACAAAGTGATAGTGAGACACACAAGAGAAATGGGAGTAAACAAAGTGATAGTAAGACATACAAGAGAAATGGAAGTAAACAAAGTGATAGTGAGACATACAAGAAAATAAAGTAAACAAAGTGATAGTGAGACATACAAGAAAATAAAGTAAACAAAGTGATAGTGAGACACACAAGAGAAATGGAAGCAAACAAAGTGATAGTGAGACATACAAGAAAATAAAGTAAACAAAGTGATAGTGAGACATACAAGAGAAATGAAAGTAAACAAAGTGATAGTGAGACATACAGGAGAAATAGAAGTAAACAAAGTGATAGTGAGACACACAAGAGAAATGGAAGCAAAGTGATAGTGAGACACACAAGAGAAATGGAAGCAAACAAAGTGATAGTGAGACACACAAGAGAAATGGAAGTAAACAAAGTGATATTGAGACACACAAGAGAAATGGAAGCAAACAAAGTGATAATGAGACACACAAGAGAAATGGAAGCAAACAAAGTGATAGTGAGACACACAAGAGAAATGGAAGCAAACAAAGTGATAGTGAGACACACAAGAGAAATGGAAGCAAACAAAGTGATAGTGAGACACACAAGAGAAATGGAAGCAAAGTGATAGTGAGACACACAAGAGAAATGGAAGTAAACAAAGTGATAGTGAGACACACAAGAGAAATGGAAGTAAACCAAGTGATAGTGAGACATACAGGAGAAATGGAAGTAAACAAAGTGATAGTGAGACATACAAGAGAAATGGAAGTAAACCAAGTGATAGTGAGACATACAGGAGAAATGGAAGTAAACAAAGTGATAGTGAGACATACAAGAGAAATGGAAGCAAACAAAGTGATAGTGAGACATACAGCAGAAATGGAAGAAAAACAACTCAATTCAAAGTGTCCACATTTTATTTGATCACAACATAGTGAAGACAGCAACGCAACAACTTCAAGTCTACAGTTTCATAGTGTAGTGACTTGTGAGTGGTCTACTCTCATTAGCTGCAGTCAAAGTACACAACACATCATTCAGTGAAACATTTGTAAGCATATTTTGATTTGGTCAAGATAGCAACTGAATCACAATTCTAAGAGTGATTCCTATTTCTTTGTTTACACTGGCTGCTTCTACAAACATGGCTACCTACACAGATATGGCTACCTACACAGGCATGGTCATTCAAGATATCTACAAATCACAACCATCAGAAAAACAACAAATACCAGCAATGGTAAAGCTTTGATTACATGCCTCTTTACACAGGCCAGAATATCAAGACATCAAGTCATCTATACAATCTATTTCCAGTGCTCAGCTGTCAAAACATCAAGTCATCTATACAATCCAGTGCTCCAAACTTCATTCTATGTCATACAACTTGTGACATCCATACAAATAATTTTCTACAATGGGATGAAATCCAATAACAACATACATTCTGACATCTAAACAAGTTTCTGCTTAAATTCTGACATCTAAACAAGTTTCTGCTTAAATTCTGACATCTAAACAAGTTTCCCCTTACATTCTGACATCTAAACAAGTTTCCCCTTACATTCTGACATTTAAACAAGTTTCCCCTTACATTTTTACATCTAAACAAGTTTCCCCTTATATTCTGACATCTAAACAAGTTTCCCCTTACATTCTGACATCTAAACAAGTTTCCCCTTACATTCTGACATCTAAACAAGTTTCCCCTTACATTCTGACATCTAAACAAGTTTTCCATTACATTCTGAAATCTAAACAAGTTTTCCATTACATTCTGACATCTAAACAAGTTTTTCATTACATTCTGACATCTAAACAAGTTTCCCCTTACATTCTGACATCTAAACAAGTTTTCCATTACATTCTGAAATCTAAACAAGTTTTCCATTACATTCTGACATCTAAACAAGTTTTCCCTTACATTCTGACATCTAAACAAGTTTCCCCTTACATTTTTACATCTAAACAAGTTTCCCCTTATATTCTGACATCTAAACAAGTTTCCCCTTACATTCTGACATCTAAACAAGTTTCCCCTTACATTCTGACATCTAAACAAGTTTCCCCTTACATTCTAACATCTAAACAAGTTTCCCCTTACATTTTTACATCTAAACAAGTTTCCCCTTATATTCTGACATCTAAACAAATTTCCCCTTACATTCTGACATCTAAACAAGTTTCCCCTTACATTCTGACATCTAAACAAGTTTCCCCTTACATTCTGACATCTAAACAAGTTTCCCCTTACATTCTGACATCTAAACAAGTTTCCCCTTACATTTTTACATCTAAACAAGTTTCCACTTACATTCTGACATCTAAACAAGTTTTCCATCACATTCTGACATCTAAACAAGTTTCCCCTTACATTCTGACATCTAAACAAGTTTTCCATTACATTCTGAAATCTAAACAAGTTTTCCCTTACATTCTGACATCTAAACAAGTTTTCCATTACATTCTGACATCTAAACAAGTTTTAGCAAACAAGTCTCCCCTTACATTCTGACATCTAAACAAAATTCGCCTAATGAAAGGCATTTCTAGATGGCTACCACTTTGATGTGGTTGGGAAGTAGTGGCCACACATATTCAATTCTAGGTTTAAATCTTGTCTGTTAGCTTTGATCATATTTTCATTCTGATAAAGTTTGGGTTTTCAAAAAAATTCCAATTCATGGCATCTACTGGAGGGAGATTTCCTTGGCATCCAGTTTTAATTTTTGTTCAGCTTTCCAAAGGTATTATGGGACTACATTGAACATGTCCCTCACTACAGCTTTCATTAGTTCCCTAGGTCCTGTTACCGTTAGCTAACAATCAGTTGCCATTGTAATAAAACGATCAACTCTTCACATAGATACATAGGTGTAGTTAAAGTATGGTCTCAGCAACACATTCTAACTATATACAAAACAGAGTGAAAATTAGCTTAAAGCAACAATATCAACAAGTGCTGGTTTCATATATTGCACATACAATATCAAAATGTCTATACAATATCATGTTTTATACAACAGAAAGAACACAGCATTGGATTGGAGACTACTACATCTGTTTGGGTAGATTGGGGGGGGGGGAATGTTTACTACTTTTTTTTTCTGGTATTCCAGTCCAACTCATACATTAGCACAAAACCTGCAAGTGTTGAAGTAGTCACAGTTCCGTTTTACATGTTTGTGATGTTCCTTCAGAGTTGAAGATAATCTACAGCCTAGTCCAAACCACCCACAGGAGGAAGGTCCAACTGATACACTTGTTTCAACTAGTAGCATATAACATTGAAGAGGGAAGCTTTGAGCAATATTCTGAAAGCAAGTTCTTTCAACCACCAACCCCACCCTACCCAACCATAAAAAAAAATAAAAAAATATATTTGTAGTATAACAAGTAAAACAGAGTTAATACAAATGCATATATATCCATTGTGTACATCTAATAGCAAGCATGGAATTCCATTGAGGACTAAAGGATTAGCACCAACATTGATATACAACCAGTTTGGAACTTGTTATCCAATGAAGTTTGTGAGTCATATGCACATACTTTCATCAACAGTCATTTTGTTTTTGTTTAGGTACAACAAATGTTTCCTATACACACACACATACATAGTAACTTAATACTCATAAAACCATAAAACTGTTTAAAAAAAAGTCAAGGACAGTAAGTTGTCAGACAATGGGCTAACATATACATTAAGTGGATGGACTAATATATACAGACAGAGAATGCACTGACATATACATTAAGTGGATGGACTAATATATACAGACAGAGAATGCACTGACATATACAGCCAGTGGATGCAGATAAATTTAAATACACAACCTTTTTTACAACAAAACATAATAATAAAAGGGTTTCTGGTGTAGAATAGACATTCAAATAGATATCATTGTTTATGAATATAAATTTTGAACTTAACAAGGCATCAATGAGGCTGACATCATTCCACACAGTTTTTGCCTCCATGAATAATTCAGTACCAGAACATTGTAGGGACAGTTAACAAAACAATAGTGATCTTGAAGGATACATCTATCTATAGCAAAGACCGTATGCTTATCAATTAGCATTACATACTGGTTACTGCTGTTGATTTGTTCCCAGTTTATAGAATGGTACTGTTTATTTTGGTCAGAAGCTCCCCTCCTAATTTTTTTCACTTCCAATAAAACAGCAGGCATTTCAACAACCCCCAAAATACATTTTATCTTTTTCCCTATCCATTTATACACCCCCCTATTTTTCTTTGTCCTTATTTTCCCCATTATTTAAATAGCTGACAGATAAAATAACCCCACAGCCACAAACTGTATTCAAATATCTTCCCCACCCCCCTCCCAAAACACATTTAAACCCTTTAATAGGCCTTCACATTCACTAATTCTAGATTTAGTATTGTATTTAGTATACTGGGTAGATCTAGATCTAATTCTACAGAATTTAGATTGTATATTCTAGTACTTTTCTCCACACATACACAGGCATGACTTTATCTAGTTATTCAGTGTTCTTGAAAAAAAAATGAAAATATCAATTTGATTTTATTAGTCAACTTTTTAAAGTGTCCACAATTGTGAGTTACACACCTAAGAATAATTTATTTCATTTTGTTTTTATAACTTTGAGCACACAAAAACATGCATTCATGTAGATATTTTCTATTTTAGGGAAAGGAAATATGCTTTGAAAAAATACAAGTCTTTTTTTTGTGCTATGTAACATTTGTATTCAAATTTTATAAATAGGCCTTTGCTGCTGCCATTATAGGGAAATATAACTAAATACAAAGATTTATAGAAAGCTTGTGATTTTTCATGAATTTCCATGCTAAGACTCAAATCTATCAAAACCATTTCTTAGCAAGCATCTTAGAGGTAAGAGGAACCTGTGTAAAAAATTTCAAGAGAGCTTTTGATAGATCAGTCTGTAAGTGGTATTTCACAAATATATATAACACATGAGCAAAGAGCATAGATCTGCCTATAAGCATAGAGCATATGAGCACATTTATTTATCAATGAGCTTATATAGAGTGTAGATCTATCTATGAAAACGAAACACTTGCAGAGAAAAGTATTGTTTATATTTACACTCTATACAAGTGCACTATATCCATTGTCTTGTAACAACAAAAATATCTACAAGTATTGTCCATTGTCTTGGTTTCCATGGGTTGTGGAACTGATGTGGTTGGACTGTAAGGCAGTTAGTGAGCTGAACTTGAAGGATGGTCTCCAAAGAGTTCAATAAGGCCTGCTTGTAAGCTGAAAACAAAAAAGCATGAAATACAAGTCAAAGTCTACACGTGACAAAGTGATGCTAGAAAAAAGGAAAGTGAAGTGTAATTTTAAAGTATGGAACTGTGTCATTGATCCAATCAATCCATGTACATATCAATTTCATTTAGTTTCTACTCTACTAACAATACTTGACAGTTTTTACACTGAGATGTTGTTATCACTTATTTCAACTCATTTCTGGCTCTCTAATGTTGTTTTGAAATTTATATTTTTATATTACATCAGCTCCTTGTAGGTCATGTTAGTATCAAAAGATAAATGAAATTTAAGAAAACAAATTTTTTTTATATTTAATTAGTTAAAGTCTCTTTAGGGTAAGGATTTATGTCAATGTGCCTTGAAAGTACATTGAACTAAATTTCAAATGTGACATTCTACTATTAGCTAAAGTGACAAAGATCAGAGTGTCTATATTTACCTAACATCAAAGCTAGTTCTATCAATCAGCAGTGCTTCCCCATCCAAGTTCATATACAACTTATCCACAAGACGTTCCTCCCCAGTCTCCAGTCTTAATGTTGGCAGAGATGTCAATGATACTTTGTAACGTAATACTCTTTCATTGGTTAGGAAGTTGAAGTCATACTGTGGAATACAAGAACAGTCAGACTCAACATCTAAATAAACAGAAACAATAGCAGTCAAACTCAACAACTAAATAAACAAACAGAAACAAAAGCAGTCAGACTCAACATCTAAAACAAACAGAAACAATAGCAGTCAAACTCAACATCTAAATAAACAAACAGAAACAATAGCAGACTCAGATCATTGCCTGTATGTTCTGAGGACTGGAATGTATTGGTCGTAAATCAGTCAATAAAAAGAGAGGCTAAAAGATCAACTTACAGCTCCAGTTGTCCAGTCTGCCACCTTAGACAACTGTTTGATGTGTTCCCCTAGAGGACACACAGAAGCTATGTGTATTGTCAGAGCAGAATCTCCAAAGACTGGCACCAGTTTGTTGTTCTTATCTGCCAGATTGACCACATTTAAGTCCACACTGTACAGAGGTCCATTATACACCTGCCACTCACCATTCTCTTTTAAATAAGAAACCTCAGCCTCAACTAATTTCCTGGTTAAAATACCTTTGAGTGGAAACACTGTGAAGAGAAAACATTTCATTTGTAGTGAGAACTTGAGTTCTGTTGTCTCAGGTCTCAATAAGTAGCTGCGGTTAGTCTAGTCATTCAAACGTCTGATTTAATGATCTGATAGTTTTATTTTGAATGGTAGGTCACCAACATCAACTTATTGACAAACATTTTCCTTGTAGATACAATAGCTCTACTCTTTTGAC